TGTGATGAAGAAGGTGTAGTGAATTTTAGCCTTGCTTAAATTTTCTTCCTAATACCAAAAATTTGAACCGACAAAGATCAATTAAGATTTTTTGTTGTTTATAGGAAGAATCTAAATCAATAGAGATTGATTCTCTAATTAATACTTCGTATGATTTTAGGAAAATTGGAGGTGATGCATATGATTTGTCTTTGCAGGTGATATATTATGGGCCAAATCAATATTGGAGGTGATAATTTGGAGACTGTTTTAACAGGTTCCAACTTCCAATCACACTGATTTGGCCCCTTCTCAAGACCATAATGTCTACTCAATTGATAATGATCTAGCCATGCATACCTATTACTAATGCTCCTGCTAATACTTTAGAGGTGCAGGCAGTTTCTATTAACGATGGTGCTTTAAATCTTGTTGAGGCACCTCCAGATGCTACCGAGATTGATTCAATTGGTGCTGAAAATAAGGATTCTAGTCCAATTATGCTAGCAGCAGTCCACTCAGAGGCCCCTATTGATGCTACTAATTCTGTCCAACACCCAGTGAGTTCTGATTGTGGCTCACCTGATGTAGAATATATGGATTTAGGATGCATTGTGATTGCATTAGACCACACACAGGCCCCCGTTGATGCTATTAATTGTGCTGAGGTAACTGTCCAACTACTAACTTCTTAGCTGCAATTACTAACTTCTTATATGCAATCCTGTCTTCTTAATGAACTTGTTTTTGGCATAAAGCATGAGGACACACTTTTAAACAACAAAAGGTACGAGTCTTAGTAGTTGTATTCGTATAGTCTTACTGTCTTAGTATTATTAAGAACTATGTATTATATCAACAAGAAAAAAAAGGAACTTGCAACAGAAAACATATTGCTTGCTCATTTTGGTCTTGGATTTTATTCTACTTTGATGATTGCTAGAAAGACGACCTATCATTTTGATTAATTTTGATTGTTACTGCACAAATATAATGCCATTAAATTGAAATCATCCTACTGTGTACTGCACAGATTGCTCATTGAGACTGTTGCTCAATTTGGTGTAATTTTTCTTGTTTTTGCTTTGGGAACGGAATTTATGCAATGGATGTTCAGGCCATTTCTTCTTAATGAAAGTTTTTAGTATTTGCTGCATTTTCTTGAATTATTTAGTGTGCTTTAGTTCTACTTTTTTAATTTTTAGACACTTTAATCTCCAATGAACAACCATCTATTGTTTTCTATTTAATTGATCCTTTATTGATGAGCCTAACTTAATAAAAGTTTGTTTTAATAATGATGATGATAATGTTTGTTAATTTGCAGAAAACGAAAGAAAAGCATAAGAAGCAGAAGGTTTTGATTCCCAGTAAACCATATTCTTGTCAAAATGGATGTTGAAAGAGTGAATCGTAAACACTTTGCACTACACCTCAAGATAAGTATTTTATGTCATACTTTTGTCGCCTGTGGTTACTTGAATAGGTGAAAAGTGTCCTTGAACCCAATGAAGATGATAATAATGACATTCATATATTGATAATGCAAGGTTTGTTACCGTTGCAGGTAATCTTTTACCCTTTGTTGAATGACTGATTATGCTCTTTGCACTTATTTAATCTGCCCATATATCCATTAGAATAGCTATATTTGATTTCAAACATAGATATGACTAAATAAGATGATAATAATGACATCCATATTGATAATGCCAGGTTCGTTGCTGGCGTGGCCCAAAGATATTTCTGAGACATGGACAGTGAGGTTGAATCCTTCTAAATAGAATCATTGTACTCTTTTAGAACCTGAATTGTTATTTTAATTTGATTTTCTAATGTGCTGAAGTATTGTGTATTTCAATCCAGCCAATTAAAGGATTGGAAAATACTTTCCCCGGATGACTATCTATCCTTTGATGTTGTTGCAGGTAATTTTTAACCCTTTGTTGAACAACTGATTATTCTCTTTGCACTTATGTAATCTTCCCATATATCAATTAGAGTAGCTATAATTGATTTCAAACATATATATGACTTGTCACTGTCTTTTTAGTTATATCTGAGTTAGTAAAACGAAAAAACAAAATCATGGCTAAAAATGGTAAATCAATCTGTCTAGGGAAAATACCCCACATATATACAATATAACATCAAGTCTAAATAAAACATACAAAAGACTCAATCTGGAATGACAATGCTTAATATTTAGAGACATCAAGCAGAGTTTATGGGAGGTATGCAACTTAGCTTTCCAAGCAGAGTTTTTTGAAATTTTTTATCAAACTTTTAATTAGAGTAATAGAGATAAGCAAGAAGAAAGTTCCTGCTGACATCTTATTTCCTTTTTGGTCTTTGTGTAGCAACCTCAAGGTAAGTATTTTATGTCATATATACTTTTGTCGCTCGTGGTTACTTGAGTAGGTGAAGAGTGTCCTTGAACCCAGTGAAGATGATAATAATGACATTCATATTGATGTTGCAAGGTTTGTTGCTGGCATTGCCCAAAGATATTTCTAAAACATCGGCAGTGAGGTTGAATCCTTCTAAATAAAATTGTTATATCCTTTTAGAACCTGAATTGTTATTTTCATTCCATTTTCTAATGTGCTGAAATATTGTGTATTTCAATCTTTTGTTATATTGAAAGTGCCTGCTAGAGCCATTATTGAAGCAAGAAGAAATTTTGAACTTGGGAATTTCCCACTGTCGTACACCGACACGAAAGAACTCATTAAGAATTGTGTTTTTTCTTAAATTTTCTGTGCACCAAATTCTTTAACCCTGTCTTTGAACTTTTATATGCAACTTAATTTGTTTGACTACATATTTTGGGGTTCGATTATGTTTCATTGATTTCAGGATACAGGTTATAATAATTTGTTTCCAAAGAAGCAGAAGGGTGGCACAATTATTTTTAGATGGAGGCCGGAGTGTTACTTTTTTTAGTTAATTTGGTTATGTTAGGTGGATGTTTAGAATTGTCTAACTTTGATAAGTTATTGATGTAATTTTAGAATACTTTTTATGACAATTTGATTTAATATGAATATTTATGTTTATTTATCATGGATGGATTTATTAATATCAGTAAGTTTTTATGATTATGAGATGATATAGTTTAATCTTATTACTAGAATTGTATGTGTATATATATTGACGTATCATACACTTTTATGATACCACGGTGTCAAAAAATTCTATGATACTACAGTGTCATTAAAGTATGTGATGGTTTATTGTCGCTAAGCTTCATGATATAAAAGTGTCATTATTTAGTGACACTTTCTCTATGACACTAAATTTAGTGTCATAATTCCCGACCTTCTTTGACACTTTTCTAGTGTCAGAAAAACTTTTTGTGACACTTATTTAGTGTCACTATAGACCATTTTTCTAGTAGTGCACCTTTTTCTCTTAAGATATTTTCAGTCACTAAAAGCTAACATTTACTAAAAAGGTCACATATGATAAGTATCTTTTCATATAGTTGTTCCAAACGTATATGCCTATAATATACCTTCTGAGGAAACGTTTATGGTACTTTCGAAATATGTCAGATTTTAGTTATTGTATACCCAAAGTCTCAAATGACTAGTCATTCATGAATGTAGTTATTTTACCATTTCTCCTTTATGATGAAAAAGAGGGAAAACTCGGATTCAACTTGGAAATAATGGTGTCTCAGTTGTGCCTTATGGTAACCTTAACTATGTGTATAACTTTCATTGCTTTTTGAAAGGTGTTGTAATGACTAATGAAGTTTGCTTCAAAAAGTAAAAAAAGGAGTTTGTAAGCAGAGATTTTTGCTTCAATTGTTTTTTTTTGTAATATATCCCCCAACTAATACAGAAAAAATTACTTTTTCCCAAATGCTCTTATTACCTTCTACTTTTTTCATCACTTCTACTTATAAACACCACAAATTTTTACCATTAAGTTTTTTCTGTCATTAAAATAACTATCTAAAGGTAGGTTTGCAACTGTTTAAAAAAAGCACTTCTCGGCTTATGGCTTAAAAAACACTTATTTACCAAATATTACCAATTTTTACTTTTCCCGGCTTCGTGTGAAAAGTGCTTTTCCATTTTCTATTACACAAAAAGCACTTATTTTACCAAACACTACCAACTTTTACTTTTCAAAATCACTTTTTTTCTCAAACACTATCAACTTTTACTACTAATCACTTTTTCCAAATCATCACTCCAAAAGTATTTTTTTAAGCAGAAGCAGTTGCAAACATTCCCGAAATCATTTATCAAAACACATGTTTCCAGATGGAATATATATACCTAAATAATACTAAAACATACTCTATTAGTCCTGCTATGATTGTTCAATCTTTGTTTTTCGAGTCTCACTAGGATTGTCATATGCCAAATTTGATAAAGATTATGTGATTTTAAATCATTTTTATCATTTAATAGCAACCACATAAATATACTTTTTTTAATAACCCACTATGATAATGTCGCATTTTTATTATGTATTGTTTCACTTTTAATTAATTTTATTGTTTGTGGTTAGAGAAATTACACACTGTTGGTATAATTAGTTTATTTTTCAAGATAGATGTAATTTGTTTAGATTAGGATTACATCTGAGCTTAAAACAGGTCAAGATCATCCAAAGAATCAAGATTGGACCCCAAAAGATCAAGGAAAGTGCAAGGGGACAAAATAAAAATATGAGTTAAGTTGAATGTTTAATTAAATTTAATTAACAATTAATGATTAAAAAATCCAGAAGCTAGAGGAATACCTTTATTTAGTGCTTGTTACTCCCTCTGTCCCAAATTGATGTTCCTATACTTTTTGGGCTCCAATATTAAGAAAGTGTGGTAGAAATACTCAAAACTTACTTTATTGTACGGCTCACCCTTTTACTTTTAGTGTTCATTAAAAAAGAGGGGTATAAATAGTAATCCACTTTTATTTCTTTACTAAAAAGGGAAACCTGTTATCATTTAGGGCACCCTAAAAAGAAAAACATGACCATCATTTTGGGACGGAGGTAGTACTTTTCAGTTTTTATGTCATCACCTCATGGGGCTTTAAAATGAAGGAATGAACCTGAGTTGGAGAGATTATGTTCTAGAACAATTAATCCCAGCAATATTTTTAGGAATAGAATAATCTTGAGAGAAACTGCATTCTAGGATTACATGAGAACAAATCAAATAAATATAATAAAATCAAGCTAAATGCTAATCAATATCGACTCCGAATTGTTGGGGTGCTACACTACAAACCCACTTTTACTTCCTTCCATTCATCCCTCTTCATCTGCCACCGCTCTATTCTCTACCAATATATCAGACTGATTATCGGTAACAATATCTCCTCCCACCTTCAAATCATCACATGCACTTTCTTTCTTTTTCAAAAGCATAATGAGTCCATCCAGGGCAACATCTGCCTGATCACACTTCATCAGCTCTTCTGCAATCTCGGCAGGTGTCACATTCACCTCCGTTAGGAGTTTGTCGATCTCTGTGAACTTGGGGTGATCTTTCAGGCCATGGTAGTTCGACGCAAGAACCCGAAACCCAGCTGGTGTGCAATATGACATGAGGATGTGCATGTCCATTCTTCCTGGCCTAAGTAGTGCTGGGTCTAACCTGTCCTTGTAGTTAGTTGTCAACACAATGATCCTTTCATCCCCACAACATGACCATAATCCATCAATGAAGTTCAATAAACCAGATAGCGTTACCTATAAGTTACAAACAACAATAATAGAAATGTTACTCATGAAAAGTCAGCATTCCGCATTTCCGCCCATTGCATTACTTTATTTGCATTGGTCTAAAATCATCAGAAGTTTAGTTTGCACTGTGAAATTGGACAGACAAGTGATTGGAAGGGAGCACTGTGAAAAGTCTAGTAAAGTACCAACAGTGGAAAATGAACACCATAGAGCAAAAGCTAAATAACTCAAATAAATCATACTATGTACAATCTGTAGTAGATGAGTATTATTTATGAATACTACGTATTATACTACGTATAATCTTATATGTGAGTTAGTGGATCAATATTATACTTAGGCCAAATTTCTGATATTTTAAATGTCACCCCTCAATTGTTCAAATTGATATTGTGGGGGAATTTGACTTTGCACTCCATTTTTTGTAGTATTTCGTATGATTTTATAAGCATTTTTTGTTGGTGGCCTTATTGGATGAACATTATACTCCCTCCGTCCCATCCTGCTAAGATTGTCTTAGACTCTATTCACTTGGTCAACATGAATCACTCTTAATCTCTTACTTTATATATTAAATTTTTATCGGATTTTTGCGATTTTGTAAAGTTATTAATGTAATTTCTGAATATGTAATTTTTTCCCTAAAAATAATTTGAGTGTGAACAGGGATCCGTTTGCTTTATCGTCGGTCAAACATTGTTAATCGAATTGTCACAAACATAGTGGGACGGGTAGTGCTATATATGATCTTATTAGCTTTATTGTTAGTTAGTGGATGATTATTATATTATTTCATTGGCTTTTTTGTTAGTTATACACGTTAGTTATTTTCAAACAACTAGATACAAGAGATTTGCTTATGGACTCTTGCATCAAATAGAACTGGAACTATAATAAACTAGAAAATTTTATTCTGATTTATGTTCGAACATACTTTTTGGATGGGTTTATGACCTCAATGTTGGATGTTTTCATTATGACACTAGTTGAATATTTATTATTCTTTTACTTTAGTATGATTTACATTATTTGTTCTTATATATAAATAAATTGGTTAAAAAGTTGAGTCTTAAGCCATATTGCGTAATGAGGCTTACGCCAAGTCTCTAGGGCATGCGTTTCTAATCCAGGTCTTAGCCTAGATATGTGCGGGTTCATGATTATGTTGTAAGACTGATACTAACGATTACTTGAGTAATTCATGGACATAGTTTTGTCATAAAAATAGAGTGAGATGGCTAGAGATCGATGTGAGGATGGCCCTACAAAGAAAATAATACTCCCTCTTTAAAAATCGCATTTTTAGTCCCTAAAATAGTCACCATATTGAAATGTTAGACCCATATTTCTAATATTGTAAATGTCACCCCCTCAATTGTCCAAATTGATGTAAATGTAGTGGGTGAAATGTACTTTTCGCCCACATTGTACGACATATCGCCTATCAAATGACCACATTTACGGTAATTTGGAAAATTGATTGGAAAATTGAGAGTGACATATACAACTTGGAACATTATTTCAATATGGTGATTATTTCAGACACTAAAAATGTGATTTTCTCTTTTAAGTAATACACTATTACACCTAATTTGCACGGGCCTAGAATAGAACACTAAAAATATAGTATCGGTATTTAACTGAAGGGAGATCTCTTAAAAGCTTATAACCCGTTTAAAGTCAAAAAGAAAAAGCTTATGACCTGATTATTATTCTGGTTGCTGTAATCTCCATTATTTCTGTTCTGCAAATCAATGCTGCAATCAATATCCTCAACCACAAGGATGGATCTGTTTTTAGTAGTGGGAAGCAGCTTTTGGAGACTTGAGTTGCTCCGTAAGCTAGAGAGATCCAGTTCATAGATGCTGAATTTCAGATAATTGGCCATGGCTGCTATCAGACTCGACTTCCCCGTTCCGGGAGGTCCATACAATAAGTACCCTCTCTTCCACGCCTTCCCAACTCTCCTGTAATAATCTCTCCGCCTAACAAATCTATCCAAATCTTCGATAATTTCCTTCTTCAGTTCAGGATCCATCGCTAGGGTCTCAAAAGTGGACGGATGCTCCAGATTAATCTCGTTGCTGTAATGGCCTATCGCCTTCAGCGTTACGCACTGGTTTTCTTCTTCTATGGCCTTCGCTCTTTCCAGAACGAACGGTATATATTTGCTGATAACAATTTCACTGAATTTCTTGTCGAAGGAGAGTTCAAACGATCTCTTTTCCGTACTACTGTCTGAGGAAGAACTGGAAGTGACTCTCAATTCCCAGACTAATTCCACGCCACCAAACGAGTCGACAATCTTCTCATCTGTGCTAATGATGAACGAGATGCTTTTGTCGGTGGGCGCCTTTGAGATTTTGAGCCGTCCTTCCGCGGGCTTCAGCTTCGTTTGGAGATAAATTTCAGCGGCTTCGAAGATTTCATTTGCGGTATAGCTGTTCTGTTCATCAATGACGAGAGTTGTTTGGGAGGAGAAGTTCCAGATTAGGACCCCCAATTTTGAAAGTATCTTTTCCAGGAGGTCTACAGGTAAGAGCTGGTTGGCCAATGATTTGAACTCACTGAGAATTGTTCTGATCAGGTAAGCTGAAGCAGTGAAAGAAGTGTATGTTGATAAAATTGCAGTTGTTGAAGGAACATCAGATAGAGAAAACATTATATTCTTCAAGTTTTTCTTCGCTTAGATCTTTTTAGCAACGCTTTTCTGGTTGATCAACGGGCCTCAGTCTCTTCTCAAGTCGATGTAACCTCCGACGATCTTCTCTCCAAAGTTGCACCCAGCTCTCAGTCGGACGTACTGAAGTAGCAGCCTCTCTCTAAGAGATGACGCTGGAACCCTAAAAGTGTTGAACGACAAGCGGTTTGGATTATTATATCGGTTGCAGCAATTATTCCCCTTTGACCCTAGTCCACGTCCTGAAGTTTATGGCCCGCGGCGTGGCCCAGCATCATGCTATATTTGTTGTATTTTTTGTAGCATACGTGACTTACCATTTTTAATGGTGAAGTATTTGCAAAAACAGAAAAAAAAAAAAAACAAATCTGGTGAAGTGTTCGCAATGGTATAACGCTCGGTCTCTCTCTAGGACTTCCTAGCCGTTAGAGCCTCTTTCTCGAGTGGCGATCAATTCCGATCGTGAGTTCCGGCCGTTTTGTTCGATCTGTGTGTTCTGTTCTGTTTACATCGTTAGGATTAACGCTCAGTTGCTTTCGAACATTGGTCTGCTACGGCGCTTCCTTTCGTTTTGATCCCAGGCAATAGGCGATCCGATTGGTTCTCTTTTTTGGGAGAAAGAATGAGTTTGGGTAGCAAGGGCATGACAGCAATGAAGATGACCGCTAGCGGTGGATTTGCTAAAAGCGCGGGACGAGGAGAGTTGCGCGGCGCTCGAACAGGTAGGTCAGATGACGATTGACACAATGCGCGGCCTCAAAGCCGGTGATAGGGGGAGTTACCCTAGGCAAGTGCCTAGGGCCTCCATATTTGTAGGGCCTCAAATTTTTTAGAAATGCTATTTATATATATTTATGTGTGTTATTTGAGAGATGATTGTATTTCTTCGTAATCCCAACTGCATTCTTAAATTAGGATGCCAATCAATTATTTTAGGGAAAACTATCAAATAAGCCCCCGTACTATACCGAAAAAGTCGATTAGACTCTCGTACTTTACAAACACTCAATTAAGTCCTCGAGCTATTAAAAAACGTTCAATTAAGCCCTTTCGGTCGGTAAGTAACCGGTTTCCCGGTTAAATGTAACTCGTTTCTCGGCAGCCGCCATTGCTGGGGTTCGAGCACAGCGTCGTCGTCGTCGCCGTTTAATTGGGAAACCGGTTACTTACCAACCAAAAGGGCTTAATTAAACGTTTTTTAATAGTTGGGGGACTTAATTGAGTGTTTGTAAAGTACGAGGGCCTAATCGACTTTTTCGGCATAGTACGGGGACTTATTTGATAGTTTTCCCATTATTTTATAGTGGCATCCATCATTTGATTTTAAATATGTGTGAACACAAATTTAAAGTTCGGAATCGAATCAGTGATCATTTCTCTCTATTACTCTGTATTTAGTTTCAATTTTTACAAAGCATGTATTCTTTGTATTTTAGTCTTTATTATATTAGCCTTATTGATCATTGACATTAACTTTGAAAATTCACACATTCTTATACAAAAAAGTATAGAGTACGGAGTACACAATATGAAAATGATATATTTTTATCCTATAATTATGTTCATTCTAGACTCCAAAGATCTTGATTGTATACCTATACCCGTCCTATAGTAATGCTTTGTTTTAGTAATAGTTTATTAAACAAATCATTATGTACTACTTCGTATTTTATTCACTTAATTAGGATATCAATTCTTAATTAAATTTTAATTTGACAACTTTATCTTTATTATTGATTGATACAGAAATGTTGACTTTATAAAACAATTTCTTATGAAGGTAGTGGTTTTTGTTTTTGAAAAAATGAAGGTAGTATTTTGTTATATACTACGTAACACTTTTATTTGAATGCCTTGGGCCTCAAATATGCTAGAGCCGGCCCTGCGCGGCGTCCTCTTGAACCACCTCCATGGGTTGTACGAGGTTGATGGATAGTTTACCCGGGGGGTATCTTATCCGAGGGGTTATTGCGGGAATAACTAGAGAGAAGTCAGAGCAAAATAGGAGGAGAGAGAGTCGATTTATTAAATGAACTCAGCGTGTGGAGTTGAGATGTAGATGTCCATTACAAGGAGAAATGGGCTGCTATTTATAGCAGCAATAAATGCGATGAGGGGACACGTGTCAGTAATCCAACGGCCGAAGGGTCACGTCAGCCGGTTGGCACCGGCAGTGGTACGTCCACCGCATTGATTGCGGTTGGCGGATGTGACGTGGCTTTAAATGCGGTGGTTGGCTGTCTCCTCGATCTCTTGGTCATTCTTTTCTACCCCCTTCAACATGATTGCATTCACATGTTGTCTCGGGTTTTGCTCCGTTTGAGATGGGAGTTTACCCGAGTCCTTTGCTTCAAGTCGGCTTACGGCATTTGAAATTTGGCTAACTTGGGTTTCCAAATTTTTAATGCTTGACTTTGTCTCATGTTGGAATTGTATCATGGTTTGTTGAAATTGACTCATGCTTTGTTGCATGGTAACCATGTTTGAAGTCAAAGCTCGTATCATTTCATCAGTTGACATATTAGATTGAGAGTTTGAGCCTTGATTGTTAAAAGATGGTTGAGAAGATGGGTTGGATTGTTGGGGGTTTCCATACTTCAAGTTTGGATGATCCCTCAATCCTTGATTGTAAGAGTTTGAGAATGGGTCGTACCTCCTTTGTTGATGTCCTTAGAAACCCAAGGCGTTGACTTGCTCTAGATTGTCTTCTTGAAGAGTTGGGCATGAGTCCGTAGGGTGCCCCTGTTGTGTACAAATGCCGCAGACTTTGACTTCTTGGGTCTTGGATTTTAGGAGGAAATCCTTAACAAAAGAAGTCAACCCGGCAACTTGACTCTCCAATAATGATGATGTCGATTCTGCAGCGGCCACCCTACGAGTTGAGGATTTGCGACCGAATTGCCGTGAGTTCTTGGCCAACTCCGAGATGAGGTTTATGGCTTGTGAAGGTGTTTTATTGACAATGCCGCCTCCACAGGCGCGTTCACCATTCTTCTATCATCATCACAAAGACCATCATAAAAATATAAAATGAGGTCTTGTTCTGAGTATCCATGATAGGGACAGCTGGCACATAGCTTCTTAAATCGTTCCCAAAATTCATACAAAGACTCGTCATCCTTTTGCTCGATGTTGCTTATTTGCTTTTTGAGAGAAGACGAGATAGAAGCAGGATAATACCTATCAAGGAAGCATTTCTTCATTTGTGCCCATGTGTTGATACTCCCAGAAGGAAGATAGAAAAGCCAATTCTTCGCGGTGTCCTTCAAAGAGAATGGAAAGGCCCTTAGTTTGATTTGTTCTTCAGTCACACCGTTTGGACACATGCTTGTGCAAATGATGTGAAACTCTGAGAGGTGTTTGTTCGGATCCTCCCCTCTTAGGCCATGGAAGGATGGTAGCAGATGAATGAGCCCAGATTTTAGCTCAAACGTATTACCCTCATCAAGAGTAGGGAAGGTAATACACAATGGTTGTTGATTCAAGTTCGGAGCTGTGCGCTTCCTCAATGTTCTTGTCTCTTGAGCCATTGATATTCATGTAATTTCCGATTGTATGTTTGTATTTTTAACTAGTTTTTATTAGTTCTAGTTGTGGGAATTACACACGTTTGGTGTAATACTTTATTTTCATTTTTATTTGTAATTTAGTTATATTAGGATTTTTCTGAGCTAAACAGGTCAAAGATCATCTAAGGGATCAAGATTGGACCTTAAAAGATCAAGGAAAGTGCAAGGAGACAAGAAAGATTTCGATTTGGAAAAAATACTCATGTACCCGGTCGGGTATTGCCTATACCCGATCGGGTAATTGCTTGATTCGACTGTCCAAATCAAATCCGAAGACAAATGATCGTGGGAGCAAATTTTCATAAAGATTTGTCACATACCCGATCGGGTATATACCCTTACCCGATCGGGTATGCCCAGAAAAATCACTTTCTGGGCAATTTCCTGAGATACCCGGTCGGGTATCCTATATACCCGGTCGGGTATCAGACCTTGCAGCTCCCAAAAGCCTATAAATACACCTCTTTCCTTCCCAATAAAATAACCAATTCACATATACTCTTTAGCTCAGTTTAGATTAGTGTTTTCTTTATATTTTCTATCATGTTTAGTCTCCAAATGAGGAGCTAAACTCTTCCATCTTGGTTTTGCTACTTTGAAGCTTAATGAATTTGTAAGTTGTGAGTTATTCTCTTTAATCTTCTTCCTTGAATATTAATTCTTCCTTTAAATACTATTTCTATATCAATGTTGGGGAGTGTTACTAAGAGGACAATTAGTTAACATCTCGACATTAGTTATAGTAATAATTATTTCTTCCTCTACGTTAATATTGGGGAGTGTTACTAAGATGACAATTAGTTAACATCTTGATATTAACTATAGTAGGATTCATCTTCTTTAATATTCTTTCTTGAGTATTAATTAATTCCTATTCATATTTCATATTAATATTTTGAACATTACTTAAAAGATCAACTAGTTTTGTTTCATATATTAATTAATACTAGAATCGGTCGATTAATACGCTTGTTATTAATTCGGTCCTTTCATGGTAGTAAACTTGGATTATTAATGCATGCATCTCATGGTTAATAATCTAAGGGGAATTAATTATATTGATTAAACCAATAAACCGTTTGTGTTGAGGTTATCAACCTCAATCGTTTTCATCTTAAGTTTATTGTTACTATCAAGTTAATATACGGCGCTTGTTCTATATTGACTCGATAGTAAGTTTTATTAATGAACGCTTCTCGTTATTAATAACTACCCTCGATGAACTGGATATACTCCTCGATTGAGTATTCGAGAGGAAGATAGTTAAAGATATAACTGGGATCGACGAACATTTCATTAAGTGGATAAAAGCAAAGCCAAGTCTTCTTCTCATTAATTAAACTCATTTAAGTCATTCATCTTAGTGTTAATTAAATCAAATCAAATCAAATATAAAAACCCCCTTTTGTTACTAGTTAATTAAAAAGAGAAATATCCTTTTCCCTGTGGATACGAACCTTACTTCGCTATACTACGTATTAGTGTCGTATTGATATTTATTTTGAGTGCACCTCACGACAAGTGCATGTCAAATTTTTTTGCTACAAGAATTCATGAGACCATGCAAAGCTCTGTGATGATATTAGCATATTCCCTGTCATTGTTGATAGAATGATCAAAGAAATGACTACATCTTAAGGTGGTGGCACCACCTAAGAGGCAATACAGTGCTTGGATTAGAGGCTCCATCTAAGCCTCTCCTCAGTTCATTCCAACAGGTTTGAGTCTAACCCGAACCTCCTGAAAGAATACACCCACGCGCTGACATGCTGCTTTATCTGATATTAGTTTATTTGATATTTACACGAAATGCTATGTTAGTATGGTAATTGTGTTTTTCCTTGTGCAGATGTGTATTACAGGGGGAGAATACTATGAGTAGGGTTCATCAAATGTGCACAGAAAGTGCTTATAATTCTCCATTAAATATTGTTCCCATATACCTTTCCATTTTATGTTTACATGGGAAAATAATATCTTAGATATTTTGTGTTCAATAAACAGAGAGATCAGGTGTAAGTTTTGGGAGTGCCCTCTTGTCAAAGTGACAAAGGAAGTGTGCGGGGATGCCAAAAAATCTGCTATAGTACTCCTTCTGTCCCCCTAACTTTGTCTCATTTTACCTTTTTCGTCTGTCTCATTAAGTTTGTCTCATACCATCTTTGGAACCCAGGGGGCATCGGGGGAGGGGGGTTTTGGGGGGCCTGGGGTAAATTGAGATCAATCCCACTCTATTGAGAATTGAACCTGATACCTACTCTAAGGGCAGTTGTTATACCGTATGACCGGTATACGGTGAGCACCGTATACCGGCATACGGTTTTTGGCAAGCAGCGTATTTGGCAAGCACCGGATCTTTATTCTTTATTTCTCTTTGTTTTTAAAAATGGTAATAACTTTTTTATTTTTTATCCGATTTTTATAAAATTTATACCAACATTTTTTATTTTTCATGATCTTTCAAATGAGACCAATATTGCCTATGTAATTTTAACTTATGTAAAGTATGTAATTTTACGTTTAGAAATATGTAACTCACGTCCAGTCAGGCCAAATGCAACTCGTGTGTATAAATATGTAACTCTACGTGTAAAAATATGTAACTTTACTTAAAAAAAATATGTAACTCGCGTGTATAAATATATAACTTTACGTGTAAAAATATGTAACTCTACGTGTAAATATATGTAACTCGCGTTCAGGCAAGTCAAATGCAACTCGTGTGTATATATATGTAACTCGCGTGTAGAAATATGTAACTTTACGTGTAAAAATATGTAACTTCACATATAAAAATATGTAACTCACATGTATAAATACCTAATATAATAAATTTTTTATATACACAATTTTAAGATAATTTGTGATTTACACAATTATTTTTCTGTATTAAATTTAGTTTGGTTTTCCTTATAATCCAATACACATCAATATAATAGTTCGATAATTTCTTAAAATTACATAAGCAATATTGGTCTCATTTGAAAGATCATGAAAAATAAAAAATGTTGATATAAATTTTATAAAAATCGGATCAAAAATAAAAAAGTTATTACCATTTTTTAAAAACAAAAGGATAAAAAATCAAGAAACCAGGCCTCAATACTCCGTCGTTTTGCAACCGGGCGCACCATCCTCATGGTGCGCCGGTTGCACGATATAATTTGCGCTATAAGGGAGAATGAGTCGGCGATCAGCTGAGCTGGAACGCTTCCTCCCATAATAACAACTCACATAGTTCAACAAATTAATTGTTTTCATATAGAAAACAACAAGATTTAAATTAACTACATATTAATATTATATAATATATACCATCATTTGCAATGGAGCCAAAGATTCATTATTTTTTGGCTTGAGAATATGATGGAATAAAGTAAAATGGCTCACTGAACTGTTTGCGCTTCTTTGTTATGAAGCAGCAGTCAGTCCATGCAATTTTGGACGTGATTTTCACTACGGGTCATCCGGAAACAGTCTCTCTGTGCTTTAGTACAGGGGTAAGACTGCGTACATCCGACCCCCCCTTATCCCATCGTAGGTGGGGAGCCTTTGCGGCACTAGGGTAAATGAAAATGAATGATGATTAATATTATATAATATAACGATATTGTAATACTAAGTTTTAAAAAAATTGGCCGGGCTCCCCAACTTTGGTGAGTCTTGTTCCGAATGACCTATTTAACTTGCTAAAAAATGGTCTTGTTTGACCAGAAAGAAGATAAATAAAGTAAAATTTGTATGGTAAAAGTTTGTGCAAAGAATAGAGAATTAATTGGAACCACAAATTCTTTAATTAAAAAGGAAAATGACAAAATTAATGAAACAACAAAAAATGGAAAGTTAGACAAAATTTGAAGAGAAGGAGGGAGTAATACCGTAATTCACAATGATAGCTTGCATGAGGACAAGTAGCTAAGTTGCAAGACTCCTAGCTATTACCATAAAATAACTCCATCTTTTAATTAATTAACTCGTATGAAAACGTTATACGCGGTTGGTAAATTTGGGCGAGTGCTATTTTGTTGACCCGAGGACATCATTAGTTTGCTACTTGCCATGTGACAATATCTCAAAGGGAGGACTAAAAAACAAGATACATGCAATCAGATAGAGGGAATAGTCGGTGCTCTACTATGGGTATGGAAAACATGCATTGAGTTGACAAGAACCTATTTCAAAGCCACTCATCAGAATCTTTAAGAAAAACCTTGTAAAAAAGATCTCAGAAGAAAAACCTTGTAGCAAAAGATCTGAGAAGAAAAATGTTCTCTCTTTCTGATGTTCCCTCAACAACTGCAATTTTATCAATATACGCTGCTTTCACTACTTCAGCTTGCCTGATCAGGTCAATTCTGGGAGAGTTCAAAACATTGGCTAACCAGCTCTTGCCCGGAGACCTCTTGGAAAAGCTACTTTCAAAATTCGGAGTCCTAATCTGCAACTTCTCCTCCCAAACAATTCTCGTCATTGATGAAAAGAACGGCTATACCCCAAATGAAATCTTCGAAGCAGCTGAAATTTATCTCACAACAAAGCTGAAGCCCACGGCAGGGCGGCTCAAAATCTCCAAGGCGCCCAGTGAGAAAAGCATCTCGTTCATCATTAGCAGAGATGAGAAGATTAGGGACTCGTTTGGTGGCGTGGAATTAGTCTGGGAATTGAGAGTCACTTCCAGTTCTTCACCAGGGAGTAGTACGGAACAGCAAAGATCATTTGAACTCTCCTTCAACAAGAAATTCAGTGAAGTTGTTATCAGCTCATACATACCGTTCGTTCTGGAAAGATCAAAGGCCATACAAGAAGAAAACAAATGCGTGAAGCTGATGGCGTTAGGCAACTACAATAACGATGAGGTTAATCTGGAGCATCCGTCCACTTTTGAGACCCTAGCCATGGATCCTGAAATGAAGAAGGAAATCATCGAAGATTTGGACAGATTTGTTAGCCGGAGAGATTATTACAGGAGAGTTGGGAAGGCGTGGAAGAGAGGGTACTTGTTGTACGGACCTCCAGGAACAGGGAAGTCTAGCCTGATAGCAGCCATGGCCAATTATCTGAAATTCAACATCTATGAACTAGATCTCTCTAGCCTAAACAGCAACTCAGAACTGCAAAGGCAGCTTTCCTCTACTAAAAACAAATCCATCCTTGTGGTTGAGGATATTGATTGCAGCATTGATTTGCAGAACAGAAGTCTTGGAGATTATTGCAGCAAGCAGAATAATGATCAAAGCCATGAACAGGTTAAATTATACTCCATCACACTCATTTTATACACACAAATTACTGTTAAAATTTTATGAAATTTGAATTATTTTTTGCAGGCTTTGTAGCGGTTTTAACCTAGTTTCTGAATAAGTAAACTTTATTTTCTAAAATTAATTTGAGTGTTGACAAGGATCAAGTTGCTTTATCATCGGTCAAACATCGTAAACCGTAAAATGTCTTATAATTCGGGATGGGGAGTACTCTCTAAGCTTTTAAGAGATCTCCATTCCCTTAAACATGTTTTTAGTGTTCTATTCAGGTCCCTACAAAGTATGCGCTTGTTTCTTCCCAATAGTATGATGTTAAGACTTGTTTCTTCCCAATAGTATGCTGTTAAGACCCGGGGTTCCATCCTAAAAGGTCAACCTTTTAGGAGGAGTAGCCTGAAGATTAATATGTCACTATAATGCTACTCAATTTTCCTGTGTGGGACATTTAACACCCTCCTCACGACCAGACACTTCGTCTGGATCGTGTCGTCATTCATTTTTGCATCGGTTCATCAATTTTTTTTATTGTGTTGTCATTTTTCGGGACCCCACACCATGGATCGATCTGGATCTAATACTAAGTTAAGACCCGGGGTTCCATCCTAAAAGGTCAACCTTTTAGGAGGAGTAGTCTGAAGCTTAATATAGCACTCTAATGCTAATCAATTTTCCGGTGTGGGATATTTGACATATGCGCTTGTTCCTACTATGTTTGGGACAAAGGAGTGTGACACAATGACGGGCACTTTGTCGTGAGTGCACTCAAAATAAATTCAATACTAACACTTATACGTAGTATAGCGTAGTAGAGTTCGTATCCACAGGGAAAGGAATAATTCTCTTTTTAGTAAAACTAGTAAATAAGGGGGGTTTTGGGTTGAATGATTTAATTAAATTAAACACGAAGATGAACGAGTTATATGTGATTTAATTCAAAAGATAAAAAGGACTTGGCATTGCTACTTTCCACTTGTTGATATATTTTAGTCGATCATTGTTATATCTATAACTTATCCCCTCTCAAATACTCAATCGAGGAGTATATCCAATTCATCGAGAGTAGTTATTAACAACGACCGTTCATTAATAACCCTTACTATTAGTCAAGTATAGAACACCGCCATATACCGACTTAATAGTAGCATTTAATCTCTTAACTCCTTGATGAAATCAATTGAGATTGATAACCTCAACACAACGGTTTCGGTTTAACCAACAAAATTAATCCCTCTTAAGTTTATTAACCACGACCGTGCATTAATAAACCAAAGTTACTTACTTGTGAAACCATCAACGATTAACCATCGGTTCGTTGATCGTTTCTAGTAGTAATTAATGTCGAGATGTTAACTAATTGTCATCTTAGCAACACTCCCCAACATTAATATAGAGATAGATTAAGGGAAGAATTAATATTCAAGGAAGAAGATTAAATATGAATAATCCTACTATAACTAATGTCAAGATGTTATCTAATTGTCATCTTAGCAACACTCCCCAACATTAATATATAGAGGAAGAAAATAAATACTACTATAACTAATGTCGAGATGTTAACTAATTGTCATCTTAGCAACACTCCCCAACATTAATATATAGATAGATTAAAAGAATAATTAATATTCAAGGGAAGAAGTTAAGGAAATAACTCACAACTTTAATAATCAACAAGCTTCAAGAGCAACACCAAGAAATGGAAGTTTAGCTCCTCATTTGGAGACTAAACATGCTAAAAAAATATAAAAGAAATATTATTCTAAGTTGAGCTTAAGAGTATGGAAGAAGGAGTGATTCTTTGTGAAGGAAAATGGGGTTATTTATAGGTGTTTTTCAACACCTTGGGCCGGGTACCCGACCGGGTTAGGTGCTTACCCGACCGGGTCCGGTCAAAATCAGATATCCTCCACGTTCTGGCGATCTTCGGCACGTTCTGGTGTCCCGGGTCAAGTCTGACCCGACTAGGTCAAGTAGGGGACCCGACCGGGTCTGGTGATTTTCCAGGCAGTTTCGGATTTTACATCAGACCCGACCGGGTGCATGGTCTGACCCGACCGGGTTTGTGCTCCTGGGCACACTTATCACCTTTTTCTTTACTTCAAAGTCCTCCTTTTCAACACCCTAATTCCTAACTCTACTTTACAACTTACAAATGAAGATTAAAATACAATTACAACTAAAATCACACAAATGTTTACAAACTAAATAAAACGGTAAACAATCCACACAAATCAAACATAAAAACATACACTTATGCACTACTAATTAGTGCATATCACACAACACTTAAGAAAAAATGGAATTGTATGATTGGTATTGAATTCATAAAGTGGGAATAAAGTAATAATGAATTGTAACCATTCAAAAATTATCAAATATGATATGAGACAAACATAATGAGACGAAAGAAAAAGGTAAAATAACAAAGATGGGGCAGAGGGAATAGTACTTTCTTTCTGGGGCCATTCTTTCTCTAGCATTCAGTTTAATCACAAAACAGTCACGTCTACATAATTTTTATCTTGCATAATTTTGTACTCCGTATTTCATAAAGTCATTGAAACCTATAGGGGCTATAGTATAATAAGTAAGGACAGGAGTACATTTGTTGTCTACACTTTTTGTCTATATTCATGCGTGTCATGCAATTACCAATTATTGGGTGTTAAAAGTTAAATGTATCCTTTCAACCAGGGACGGATCCAAGGGGGGGGGCGACCGCCCCCCTTGGACTTCCAAATTTTTCTACTATATATATAATATTTTCATAAAATTTTCATACTTTAATTAGGTATATATGTTTTCGCCCCCCTTAACTTTAAGTTTTCAAAATTAATATATAGGCTCACATAATGCAATGCTTAATTGGAGATTTAAAAGAAGTAGAATCTAAAATAATTTACATAACTTAAAAAAATAAACAATAGAACTCATTGGTCCCTGATATTGGTCCCTGATATTCAATATGTTTTGATATCTTACATAACGGTACCAAAAAATTCTTAGTTTTGTAATGTTTAATTATTTTTATTAGATAATTAGTACTCGATTTTGTAAGATGTCAAAACATATTGAATATCAGGGACCAATGATAATCATCTTTCACAAAGATAATATTTTGCAAAGATAAGAAAATAACTTGGAATAGTAGGTCATTAACCAACCAGGGACCAATGAATGAAGATGAGGTGCAAAGGTTGGATTATTCATGAATAATCAAAAGGTGGAATTAATGAAAGAAGACCACTGAAAGGTTGGATTATTAGTTTCCATTTTCCCAATAGTATAAATGTTTCTTGACATTAAATTACACATTTCATTTACCTCTTACTTTCTAAAAACAATTTGTTGAATAGATAATACTTTAATTTATTTTAGAATTAATGCAAATATAATATGCACCAGATATATATGAATTAACATTACTACGTATCATATTATTCTAAGTATAGTAATCTCATGCATACTATTGTAATATTAAGAAAACTCATCATGACCCACAAATACCCTTCTTGGTAGACAAAAATCCCAATTCAAAAATCAATTCTTTATCCTGTTAAGAATCATGTGATTAAACAAGGCATAAGTTACTTAAGAAATATTGGTTGATGTGTACCTTTAACTTTAACCACTTTACCTTCAAATAATATCATAAAATGTTATACTACGTATATCATATCCTTTCTTATTTTCAAATAATTTCCCTTTAATTTGTCATTTCTTAAGCTTTAATGTATCAATATTTTTTTCTCGAGCACTTATAGTTATTAAATCAAAGTTATATTTTCATTGTCTATAATTAGAATTAGAATATAATAGATTTAATTGTCATCGTGTATGTAGTATGTACTAATGGAACTTTTTAAATAAAAATTAGCCACAGAGCCCTACACTAGCGAAAAAATTTGCCCCGCTACACTAGCGATTTTTTCCCGTTCCGCTTAATAGCGAAATTTTTTCACTCCCTACAGTAATGAAAAAATTTCGCCCCCCTTGACTCGAAATCCTGGATCCGTCCCTGCTTTCAACATCCAATATTTGCTTCACACATGAAAGTGGGCAAAAAAAAGGAATAAAAATACATTTATTATATTTATTGTATCATAAAAAGTAATTGTGATGAGAACCGAAAATAATAATCAATGGTAGAAACCGTTGCCCGTAATCAAAAGGTTGAAATCCATTTTTATTAATTGATAAGCCAGAATTAATCCTAACAAGGGGTTTAAATACCCATCGACTAATTCCCAAACTAGGAAACAGCATCGTAGAAATCCCAATCAACTCCAAATAGGAAACAAAATTGTTGGGATATTAGGCCTTGGCCCGATACAGGCCCAAATATCCCTGAAGGCCCAAAGCACACGCTGACCAGCAACAAAGATAGCCACTTCAGGATAGACATCCGGCGGTCCCACACGAGAGTTGCCGTATGGCCCATTTCCCTCACTTGGGTCATTCTTGCTAGTCCAGCAACCGCCCAAGCCAGGACTCGCCCAATCAATTGGCGAGAAACCTCAAAATTGGCGAGAAGCGCATTTAATGCACTAGATATGGAAGATTTTATGGTGGGGGATTCATCCACTCAGGGTCGGCCACGTCACCCCTCCACCTACTTACTTGTAGTATATTTATTTCATTGTAAGGGACTAAGGGGTTAGCAACTTTGTACTCTTAAGCATTAGACTTCTCTCTAGCTTCGTCAATAGCACTAGCTTAATCTAGAGGGCCAGAGCTAGGGATGGACCCGGTCTACTTCCGGTCCTAGACCGGCCAGTTCTGGGTTGTATTTATGAAGACCGGAACCGAACATTGTTGGCTAAAGGGTCAAATAGGCCCATGTACCCGTCCGGAATGCTCAATTCGCCCCCTGAACTAAAAAAAGCTTCAATTGACACCCTAAACTGGATAAAAAGTTTCAAATTTGACAATTCAGAGGTAACCATCCTGTCAGCGCCACGTCATCAAATCATGTGCCAACTGTTCATCTCATGTTGCAACTGCAGAGGGTTAAATAAGCCCCTAAATCCAACCGAATTGTTCAAATCACTCCCTCAACCGTTAGAAAGTGTCAAAATTACGAAAAATAAAAAATAAAAAATAAAAAATAAAAAATACAAAAATAAATAATGTGCAGTTCGAAAATATTAAATATAAAAATGAAATATTTGTATTTTACATTAAATTCAAAATAAAAATAAAATATAAACTAAAATAATTTCTTTACCTTTATTTTCAAATATTTTATTTATATTGTATATAAAAAAATGTGAAAGTTATACGTACAAATATACATACACACATATTTGTATTATCTTACTTTATACATACACACATAATTACTATGTAGTATATTTAATATGTAAAAAAACTACTGTAATTTATATATATATACATATATATATATATATATTACATAAATAATAAAAGTATGTGATTAATATTTTTATATTTTACTTCTTATATAGTACTGCATTAAGTTTTTATGGTCTAAATAATTAGTACAAAGTATAGAATTTAATCTGAGTTTGTATGGAAGGAATAGTTTGCATGTGGTAGCTCTGGCGATTTTTTACGAGCGTGAATGACTGCAGCGGCACAAGTGGAGGGGGCGGCGCCTTCCCCTCCACCGGTGAATAAGGCGTGGGATATATAGATCATTTGCGTCTGTTGTGATGGGCTCCTCGGATACACCGCCATCAACAAGGGTTTTCTCTCATTTCAAAGGTTTGCCTTCCATTACTTTTCAAGAGGAGGATGCTGATTCCTTGGCTGCAAGGCATAAGAAAGCTTTAGTGGGCTACTTCTTTAATGGGAGACCCCCCATGCCAACCTTACGTAAAGTTTTTGAATTAATCGGATTCAAGGGAGCTTTTTATTTGGGTATCTTAGAACGTAAGCATATATTACTCCGGTTTGAATTGGATGATGATTACAAACGTTGTTGGAACCGTCAGAGGTGGGATATATTCGGGAATATGATGAGGGTTACGAAGTGGACTCCGGATTTCAGACCGAATGTGGAATCACCTATTGTTCCAATATGGTTATATTTTGAAAACCTGCCTATTCATCTTTTTGAAAAGAATGCATTATTTGATATTGCAAGATTAATAGGCCGTCCTCTTAAACTTGATGCTGCTACTGCATCCTTGGCAAAACCCTCGGTTGCTAGGGTTTTTGTTGAGGTTCATCTTTCGAATGAGATGCCTAAAAAAATATGGATACAATGTGGTTCAACTGGTTTTTGCCAAAGTTTGGGGTATGAGAATAGGCCCTTTTACTGTGGTAGATGTCTACATCTGGGTCACTCTGATGTTGCTTGTCCAAAGCGTCCAAATGCACCTACTGGAGTTGAAAGTAATGCAACAAAGGAACAGGGGAAAACTATTACAAATCCAACTACAAAAAAATGGGTACAAAAACAAAGGCCTACTGGGAAGAATATTATTAACACGGAAGGGGTACAAAGAAAAGAAGATGCAAGGAAGCTTTTGCACATAAAGAGCCGGTATGCATTGCTTCCACCTCAGGCATCAAAGGCAAATCTATTGCGGCTGAATGCACTCCACCCAACTCTAATAGCCTGGACACAGATTCAGATACGGAGGATGCTTACATTGAGACAATAAGTGGTAAAGTTCTAGTTAGAAATGGTGAGAAATTAAATGATAAGCCAGATGCAATACCTATTGTCTCTAAGGATGATGCCAATGCTAGTGAAGAGATTGCAGGAAGTTTAACAGTTAATTACAATCCTGCTAAAGATACTAAGTTAAAGGCATTATTAAAGATGGACATTCCATGGTTGGATAAGCCAGCGCCAATTCTTTCAGCATCAATAAAGGATGATTTTTGCTTACATATGATGGAGAAAAGATCAAGAGTTGATCCTGAACTGTTATCCAAAAAGACATTCTCTGATGTGGACCTGCATGTTAACCCACAGCCATTGCTGAACTGGAAGGAAGAATGGTCTGATATTAACTTTAAAGTTAAAGCTATGGCAGATAAGATAGCACTTGAAGAGTCAACTTACCAAGGGGAGATAGGCCAGCAAAATTCTGAGGAGGCTGCTCAAGTAGATGCATCCTTGAAGACACAATATGATGATACTATCTTTGAGGCTGATGCATCTATGACTGAGAAAAAGAATAAGCAAAAGCAACAGGTTGATATTAATTCTAGAATTACAAGAAATGCACCCAAGAAGCTAAAACAGAAAAGTATTTCAGCACCTGAAGATCCTAACATTAATAGGTTGCTGTCTCAAACTTCAAATCTACAGTCTCAATGAATTGCCTAACATGGAATGTTAGTGGTCTAGACTGTTCATTAGCCAAACTTCAATCCCTTGTTAGACAATATCATATTAATATCCTTTGTGTTATTGAGCCTATTGTCTGCTCTACCAAGGTAGAATATTTTATGAAGGATTTGGGTTTTAATAAAGTTATGTTTTCCCATGTGAATAAGATCTGGGTTTTTTTGGATTCAGATGACTTTATCATTGCTGATGTAAGCTGGCACAAACAATTGCTCCATTTTTCAATTAAAGGCATATCTTTTTCTGGTCGGATGACTTTTATTTATGCAAAGCAAAACCATATTAATAGAAGGGACTTGTGGAGTTATCTTTATAACATTTCTACTAATATGATTGACCCTTGGATCATTGGAGGGACTTCAATGCTATTGATAAATTCAGTGAACATCTAGGTTCAGCCACTCCTGATGTTGACAGTATTATGGAGTTTTCAGAGTGCATTACCAATTGTGAAATGATTTATCTGCCTTATCAGGGTCCTGTTTATACTTGGACTGGTGTAGTTAGATCTTGTGGTAGGGGTCTAGAGAAGATTTGATAGATTTTTGGTTAATGCTACTATGTTAGATGCTTTTGACTCTATAAAGATTAGCATTTTTGATAAGACCCCTTCTAATCATAGTCCCTTTTTGATGAATTGTACTAAGGATGGACTAAAGGGGCCTAAGTCTTTTAAATTTCTGAATATTTTGCTGTCCCATCCCACTTTTATGGAAGTTGTTAATAAACGTTGGAATCAGAATATGTTTGGAGGTGGTATGCATGGGTTAGTTGCTAAGCTTAAATGCTTGAAACAAGACTTGAAGGAGTGGAATAAAAATGTCTTTGGAAACCTATTTGATGCTATCAAATTAAAGATTGTGAAGCAAGAGTGATGCAAGCTGAAAAGGACTATGCAGATGACCAAAGTGAAGACAAAAGGGAAAACTAGTTCCATTTGTCTGCCTTACTCAAGGCTAAATATAATCTTGAAAGGAAATATTGGAAACAGAAAGCACACATTCAATGGCTTAAGGAGGGGGGCTCAAATTCCAGTTACTTTCACTCTTTTGTTAAAATCAGACACAGGAAACAGCAAATCTCTTTAATTCATAATGGAGGTGTTTTGGTTAATACCTTAACTAATATGGGAGATGCTGCAGTTTCTTATTTTTCAAAGCACTATTCTGTGGAGGAGCAAATTGATTCAGCTTCAATTCTGCAATTTATACCCTCATTAGTGAATGATGAAGACAATAATATGCTTATGCAAATGCCAGATGCTAAAGAGGTTAAAGATGTAGGTTGGGCATTAAATCAAAGTGGTGTCAGATGGCTTTAATGGCAAGTTTTTCAAGAAGTGTTGGGAGATTGTGGGCACAAATGTGGCTAGTAGTCTTATTGATCTGATTCTTTTGCTGATTTTAGGCCTATATGCCTCTCAAATTTCATTAATAGAATTTGTACCAAGGTGGTGACAGTCAGATTAACTAATAATTCTTCCCAAGTTAATATCTATGGAGCAAGTTGGCTTTATGAAAAATAGAGATATTGCAGAGCAAGTTCTTATGGCACAGGAGATGGTGCACTCTATTGACAAGAAATTTAGGGGCTTTAAAGTCATCATTAAGCTAGATATGGCTAAGGCTTTTGATAGGTTGTCTTAGAAATTTCTACAGGAGGTTTTGGAGAGATTTGGATTTTCCACACACTTCATTCAGATGGTTATTAACAATCAGGAGGCTACCTACTTCTCTATTTTGATTAATGGGACCCCTCAAGGTTTTTTAAACCCAAGAGGGGGGTCAAGCAAGGTGATCCCTTATCACCCTTTTTATTTATCCTTGCTACTGAGGCTTTTTCTAGGGGTCTGAACCACTATATAGAGAATGATCTCATTAAGCCATTCTGGATGGGCAGTTATGGTTTTCCCATTTCTCATCTTGGTTTTGCTGATGATCTCTTGATCTTTTTAAATGGTGATTCTAGATCCTTATCTAATCTATATATATAGTAAAACAGAAAAGTGTGGGAGAGTTTGGGCGGGAAGTGTGAGCACTCAATGTAGGCAACCGAGTGGAAAAAAAAGTTTATTAAAATATGTATGGAATGAGCTGCCAAAATTAAAGTATTGAATGTTGTGAAAATTTAAATGAGCTGCCGAACTATTAGCCTTTTGAAATTCCCAGTTAAATGCTGCCAATGAAAACGGCGGATTTGAATTAATGCTGGGGGCATTCTTTAAGGTGTTGGTATTCCCGTTGATTATTAGTAAAATATTGGCACAAGGTGTGGTTCTTAATATTCCTGCAACCATTTCTAATGCAAGTTAATTAACAGCGGCCATTGATTAATTGCAAGTTAATTGCAAGGGCGGGAACTAGCAGCGGCCATTGCCTAAAGTTGTTTAACAGATTAATTAATAAATTCAGTGTAATAAATTGATTAATTAATTGGAAGTTAATTTTCTAGAACCGGCTTTAGCAATTCCAAAGCGTCTAACGGTATCAGTGTTTTTTTTGACAAACGGTATCAGTGATTAAAGAGCCCATTAAATTATGTTGCTAATATTTACGTATAATAATGTTTGGGTATTACGTATAATAATGTTTGGACTTCTCTAGATTTTTTAATTCCAAATGGTTGTCCTATTACTCCTATATAAGATTGTTGGTGTTGGTTGGCAGAAGTTACGAAATAGCTTGAGACTGATGGCAGGGATTTTGGCAGTGATTTGGTCACGGATTATGCAAAATCCGTGCCAAAAACATTTTGGGTCGAGCTATTTGACACAAAACGTCATAAATCCGTGTCAAATTCCGTGTCAATCCCGTGTATTTTTTGTAGTGATGGTACCTTGCGACTCAATTTTCAGAGACCTGTGTGTTCCCGAATGTGGTGTAAAATTTTGGTACGTAGCTGATGCGAGTAAACATAGAGACCGACATATGGGCTTCAGTGGGGAATTGTATGATTCAGTCACCAGTGT